CTGAATTGTTTTAAAAGCTTTTGTTCTTTATGCCTTTAAGACTCATCTTCTTATTGCCTTCACTTTTTTTGAAGAATCCACGCATTTCTCAAGAGAATGGAGAGAAAAAATGTGAAGTGTTGAAAACTGCTCAGTGAAAAATGTTGTGAAAGTAGCACTTGTGTGTTTTGTGGTCTCAGTATTCAGGTAACGCTCTTGAATACATTTAGACTGTACCTTATAACCAGTGGTTAGAGCTAGAGAGTGGTTAGAGTGGTTAATTTAAAAGGAGACAGAATATATGATCTAAGCTATTAAAATTATGTGTTAAATTAAAGCATTGATTTTAGCTTTTTTGTTATAGTGGATGGAAACTAGTGACTTGCACTTCTCTAATTAATACTGGGAAGCACTTCCATTAAGGCATCCATGAAGCAGAGGTTGTAACTTCTTCTTGTTATTTTGTTTTTCATTTTATTTTTTAAACTAATCTTTTTGCAAGCATGATTGATATGCTTCCAGTGATCTTTCCTCTGCAAAGAATACATAGACCATTTAAGATATTCTAATGCTGCTTTGCTAAGCAAATCTACCTTGTTGTGAGTACACATAAATTTTACATCACCATAAAGTGAAGGCCTACAGTTCAGTCTAAATGCTCATAATCTGGTATTATCTACATGCAGTTGTGCTTCCTCTTTTCCTTTCTCTAGTGCTGTGTGACTTTCTGAGTGGTAATTCTGGTGCCCTGGCATCTGATTAAGACCCACCAGTATGCTTTTGATGAAAATTTTACGGAAGTAGTTCTGAGTTAATGTTTGCATAAGATTATTACTCTGGGAAAGTTGATGGTGCTTGTGAGATTCAAGAAGTTAGGATGGTGAGGAGAAGTGAAAGATGATTGTCGCAGTCTAGCTTCAGCTAAATTAGATGACTGAGACATAAGAGGAGTTTTGATGTGTCAAATACCCAATTACTGAAACAATAGGTACAGTTTTTAAATTTTGTTATCTGATTTATCCTTTCATGTAATTATTTTATTTTAAAACTCTAAAGTCACATAAAGTAGCCACAAGAACATTTTTAGCATGCTGTGTGTGAACAGTGTGTGTGGATGTAATTATTTGTAGCTACTTGTCTGTGGCTTCTTTATAACCATTAAAAATAGTTTTCTAAGACTCGTAGAGTACAAGCAGGTTGTGGCTGACATGAGATATGAAAAACAAATGCTAACTCACAGTCATCAAGGTCTTGATCTGGAAACAATTTTGGTAAGATGGGTAAATGATGCTGTAATATTGCAAACATTCCTAGAGTTAATATTTGCCTCCATGGTCTCTCTGTGAGTTTTCTGAGTGCTTCGAATTTGCTCATGAGCTAGTTTTCTTCTGCTTCCTTTCTTCTTTTTCTCAGTTAGCTTGTCTTGTACCTACATACAATATTAAAGAGTAAGCCCAAATAAAGGATTAAATAAATGCTTCTGATTTGGATGGTAGCTGGTACACAGAAGGAAATAGTACAAGTTATTTTTCTGTGTGCAAGTTTCTGTGACAGTCAGAAGTATGTTGCGACAGGTTAGTGTGTTGTGGAGTTTGACAGATTTGACAGATCCTCAAAGAAATAAACATGTTATGTGTGAGTGTGTGTATATATGTGTATGTATATATGCATAGGTATATAAAAAAATTGAAGCTCTTTTATGTTAATTTTGCTTAAAGTGACTGTCATGTTATTCTACTTAATATATTCCAGGCTGTCTTTCATTTATAATCCAGTAAGTGTTTTCTTTAATCTTGGAGGATTTAGTTACAGTTGTCAAAATATGAATTTGAAAAAAATTTCATGGTGTAACTTTTTTTGTTGTCCGTGTACTTTTCTCCCAACCTTAAGTAACGGTTACTAGAAGAATCAAGTCTTTTCCTCAAATTTACACTGAAATATGATTTTCACTCTTAAAACGTGACAACATTTAAGGTTGCTGGGGAGCTCTTTCAGTACCTATTCTAATGTATCATATGAGAGATCTGGGTCAAATCATAGAATCATAGAATGGCCTGGGTTGAAAAGGACCACAATGATCTCGAGTTTCAATCCCCCTGCTATGTGCAGGGTCACCAACCAGCAGACCAGGCTGCCCAGAGCCACATCCAGCCTGGCCTTGAATGCCTCCAGGGATGGGGCATCCACAGCCTCTCTGGGCAACCTGTTCCAGTGTGTCACCACCCTCTGAGTGAAAAACTTCCTCCTAATATCTAACCTAAACCTCCCACGTCTCAGTTTAAAACCATTCCCCCTTGTCCTATCACTATCAGCCCATGTAAACAGATGTTCCCCCTCCTGTTCATCTGCTCCCTTCAAGTACTGGAAGGCTGCAATGCAATGAGGTCTTCTCAGAGTCTTCTCCAAGCTAAACAAGCCCAGTTCCCTCAACCTTTACTCATAGGAGAGGTACTCCAGCTCCCTGATCATCTTATTGGCCCTCCTCTGGTCTTGCTTCAAAAGCTCCATGTTCTTCCTGTATTGGGGCCCCAGGCCTGGATGCAGTACAGCAGATGGGCCTCACAAGAGCTGAGTAGAAGTGACAATCACCTCCCTCTTCCTGCTGGCCATTTTTTTTAATGCAGCCCAGAACACAATTGGCCTTCTGGGCTGCAAGTGCACACTGCTGGCTCATGACCAGCTTCTTGTCTATCAGGACTCCCAAGTCCTTCTCCGCAGGGCTCAAGGAGATCTTCCCCCAGTTTGTATGAATACCTGGGATTGCCCTGACGCAAGTGCAGCTTGCACTTGACCTTACTGAACCTCATTAGGTTTTAATGGGCCCACTTCTCCAGCCTGTCCAGGTCCCTCAGGATGGCTTCTCTTCCTTCCAGTGTCTACCATACCGCTCAGCAGAGTGCCTGAAAACTTAAATTATTTACATGAATGTTAATTTTATATTCAAGTACTGGTTGAATTAAAATGTGTAATTATGACATGGTTTTTGACAGTCTGTGACTAGTTACTTATTTTGTTGCGTGACAACAGGTGTCCAAACAGGCAGCCAGCAGATACCTGAAGGATCAAATCTACCTGTACTGCAGACATCCGCATTTAGCTGCCCTCACTCTAGGCCCTGAATCTGTGTGCTTCTGTATTTAAAAAACAACAACAATAAAAAAAACCCAGACCCCCACCAGATAACTAGTTGTAAGCATTTCCTTCTATCTCCCTTCTTAAGAGGGAAAGCCCTGAGGAGGAATAAAGTATTCATGAGGGGCTGAGTTCTGGAGCTGAGACATGGCAGCCTTCACGTCTTTGTAGCTTCTTACCACCTCTCCCACACCCATGGAGATCTGGGAGCTTCCTGGCCTGGGGTCTTTCCATTTCCTCTGTATGGCTTTCAGCTCCTCCATAGTTGCTGATCTCAGCTCAGAAACCTGGAGCTGCTTGCTTGTTGATAAGCCATTTTAAGAGCTGCTGAAGTCTACCGATCATCTGATTTGCTGCAAAGGTTTGTTGGAGCAATTCAACGTCTACTTATAACTATTTACTTAAATGTGAGTCCTACATTATAATTAGTGTTTGCAAAAGCCACATAATATTAGATGTTATCTCTAAGGAGAGCAAAAGAGAATTTTCTATCCCCTTTAAGGTAGCTACAGCTGAAACAGGTATGTTTGTTTGCACTCGAAGCAATAAGATTCTAGGAAGCACTCTGAGATCTGAAAATCAAAGTTAACAATAATCTCTGTGGCAAGTGGCCATTTTTACAAATTTCACCTTCACTTCTATACAGCCAGAGAGATGATTAAATGTAAGCTAGTTTATGAAGAGCTTCCAGAACGATTCACTGTTGCTGTTCTTTTTTCTCAAGCAGAATGAAAGGTAGGCAGTTGCATTTACAACAACAAAGAAAAGTTGCTTATTTGCTTCTAGCGCATTAGAAAGATGTCTACTGGGTAACAGCATAGGTAGGGAACAGATTTCCATGGGAAGTCTTGTCCAAAAAATATTGTAGTGAAAGAATCAGAGATTTCCCTGTCTGTAACGAAAAAGATTTTGAATTGCTGAAAGAAGACATTTTTCTCTAGCAAAAGTAGGTGGTTTGATGTATTTGCTAAATACAGGTCATCACAAAATGTACTCTCAAGTACGTGTTGGTGCTCTGTTGAAGGACAGGGCACACACTCTAGTTTTGAGGATACACTGTATAAGCTCTACCATTCCTTTTAGACCAGTAATATTTATCTCAGTTTCTTGTAATTTTGTGTCTGCTCTATTTCTTTTTGAGCCTTTTGTATTGTCTGCCTTGAAATATCCAGAATTGAGCTTTCAGATGTACAGCAGCAATTGTTTCCAATTGTGCTCCTTTTCCATTTAAATGGACAAGAACCCTTTTAGTGTTCAAAATCCAAGTGGGAACTGTGGTGAATAGTATTAAGGACACTAACCCTACAAGTGTGAGTGCACTAGTTTTTATTAAAAGAATCCAGATAGTCTTGCTCTGAGCTTGTGTTAAGTTTAGAGAGAGTGTTGAAATTGTTGTGTGTGGATTTGATAAAGCTAATTGTTTTTCTAACTGCTGGAGTCTGAATTTTTGGTACATTATTTATGCATTCAGTCACAGTGTAAGAGACTGGTCCCAGGTGCTTACCAGAATCAGTTATTGCTACCACAAACAAATGCTGAACAATTTTGTCCAGGTAGACTTGAGAGATACTTGGGAACAAACTATGTTGGAAAAGGGCAGGTGCATGTGCTTTTTATCAAGACAGTTTAGTAGTTTTGGTTTGGTTGTTGGTTTTTGTTTGTTTTTGGTTTTTTGGTTTTGTTTTGTTTGTCTTAAGTGCAGTATCAGTATCTTGGCTCATTGGATACAGTTATATCATTTCTGGTTTCTGTCAGAAACAGTCTCTTACAGAGAATCTGGGAAATGAAAGCAAAATTCTGGGGGAGGTTTTATTATAATTCTCATAGCAAAAATGGCACTTTGGGTTTATGTGGTATTAATGTCAAATTCTGTATGTTACTTCTTGCAGAAGAGAAGGATTTATGATGACTTCACAGTTCCAGGGTTGAACAGGAGTTTCCAAGAAGTGCCAGGTATGGTAAAATGCGGGTTATCTCCTCCCTGCTATTGCAGTGTGATTCTTAGTGGCTGTTACATATCTTAAACTCACGACGTACTCATAAGCAGGAAGACTAGTGTCTTGTCTTCTTTTGTATAGCAAACATGAATTATTTTATAATAAGTTTGATTTATTATTCTGTTCCATTTGAGATTGAAATATTTTTCAAGAAGTTCATTAGAAAAGGGACATTTTTCACTTATGAACAAAATGTATCCTAACCTGTGTGTTAGTTACTGAAAGGTCCTGTTCAGGATTGCAGATTATGTGTCAGAGGGATAGTGGCCTTGCTTTCAGAGACAACTGTATCTTTGAAAGCACTGCTGGACATCCTGTATAGTTTTTATTAAAAAAACAACAAGAACAGCTGATATAGACATTCAGGTGCCTTTGAGAGTACCATTGGTTGCCATTAACATCTTTAAATAATTTTGATTGATTGACTCAGACCCGTAAGTCTAAGAAGAAATTATGAGGAAGCTGACCAACATCTGATTGTGTGAGAATATGTTTAAATAGTATGGGAAGATGAACTTGAAGTTTCAGCAGCCTTATTTCTTAGTCGGTTGAACAGTTCCTGCTGTAGCACTGACACTGTCACAACGTAGGTTCAATGTCTAGCAGAACTCACTGAAGCAGAAAAGTGTTTTATACTTGTGTTCTCCTTGGGCACATTTTGAATTCTGGATTTCAGATATCTCACCAACCAGGTTAGCAAAAGTTGCTGGCATTGTAGCTGTAGAAGGTCTCGCTGATCATCCATGATCTTGTACGCTGATGATTTCTGTTTAGTTTTCTTTTACATAGCCTCTAGCAATGCCCTCAGCCTCTGCTGTCTCAGAGTTTGACTTGTCCAAGGCCAGAATTAGTTTTCTTTTTCTTAAAAGAAGATAAAGTAAGAAGAAGGAAACCCATTTACTCTTTAATGTTTCTTTGGAGTCGAGGTCTAATGACAGTATAGTTAGAGTTATTACCTCTTATTATTATTATTATTATTATTATTATAGTTAGACTTATTACCTCTTATTTGTCTGTTGTAGTCTTTGGTTTCTTTTTTTTTCCCCTGACATTTTAGTTTGTCTTCTAGTAATCCTTGCCTTTTGTCGTCTTTTGCCTTTCTGGGTTTTCGTTTTTCCCTGTTTAGTTTTGCTTGGCGTAGTAGTTAAGAAACGATCAGGAATGTACATTTAAAAAAAAAGGACTCAGGTATTCCACTAAAGATTGTAAATATTCCCTGCTTTAAACTCAATAATTAGTTTCCTGAATACATCTTAATTGTGTATTTATCATGCAGAATAAGGAAAATATTCTGCTTGACTTCATGGAATTATTGAATTGGAAGAGACTTCTGGGTCCAACTTTGTCTAATGTCCCTGCTCAAGCAGGACCACCAGAAGTAGTTTTCCAGGACCATGTCCAGGTAGCTTTTGAAGATCTCCAAGGAAACTACAGCCTCTGGGCAACCTGTGCCACTGCACAGTAAAAATGTGTTTTCTGATATTCAGAGGGAACCTCTTGTGTTTCAGTTTGTGCCCATTGCTTCTTGCCCTGGCACTATGCAGGAGAGGGGAAAGATCACTTCTCTTGACTGTGCTATGGTTGAGTCCATGCTCTGGAGGGATATGAGGTAGGTGAAGAGTAAAATTAGGAAGCTGAACTTTAGGAAAGCTAAATTCTAGTTCTTCAGAGAGTTAGTCAGCTAAACAGCGTGGGAAACTAAGGTGTGAAGCAGAGCTGGCAAATGCTTAAGGCGGCTTTCCTCAGGGGATAAGAGCTCTCCATCCTTAGGCGTGTAGCAAGTCAGAAAGGGAAGGGAAAAAACCGGTATGGCTGAACCAGGACACGCTAGTCAAACTGAAGAACAAGAAGGAAATGCACGGGCAGTTGAAATGGGCAGGTTCTGTGGGAAGAGTATAAGGAAGCTGCTAGGCTGTGTAGGGATGCAGTCAAAAAAGTCAAGGCCCAGTTTGTACTGAACTTGGTAAAGATGCCAAAAAGAACAAGAAAGGCTTTCAACCAGAAAAGGAAAGTCCAGGAGGTCTTTCCCTCCTCGCCCTCCCACATTCCGCTCAGGAAAGCCCAATGTATTGTGGACTGCATCAAAAGAATTATGGCCAGCAGGTCAAGGAAGATGATCCTGCCCCTCTGCTCCACGCTGGTGAGGCCTCACGTGGAGTACTGTGGAGTCCTCAGTACAGAAGAAAGGTGGACCTGTTGGAGTACATCCAGAGAAGGGTCACAAAAATGATCCACAGACTAGAACACATCTCCTTTGATGGCAGGCTGAGAGGGTTGGGCTGTACAGCCTGCAGAAGAGAAGATTCCGAGGTGACCTGATAGCGGCCTTTCAATATCTAACGGAGCTATAGAAAAGAAGGGGACGACTCTTTAGCAGGTCAGTGGTGATAGATTAGGGTTAGGTATGAGGAAAAAATCTTTTACAGTGAGAGTGGTGAGGCACTGGAACAAACCTGAAACATGGAACAAACCCATTGATATGTGGTTGATGCCCCATCCCTGGAGACTTTCAAGGAAGCTGGATAAGGCCTGAGCTATCTGATCTGGCTGTGGATCTCCCTGTTCATTGCAGGGGAGTTGACAAGATGGCCTTCAGAGGTCTCTTCCAAGTCTAAGGATTCTATGAGTCTATGTCTTTCTGGCAATACTTTGCCTAACGCAGTCCAAGATATCGTTGGCCTACCTAGCAGCAAAGGCTCGTTGCTGACTCATGTTCAGTTTGGTGCCCATCAAGAGTCACAGATTCACTTCTGTAGAGCTGCTTTATAGGTGGCTGCCCCCCAGCATATCATGGTGCCTGGGGCTGTTCTTCCATGTGTGCATAATGCTGCACTTTTCCTTGTTGAACTACCTGAGCTTCCTGACAGCCAGTGTCTCTAGCCTGTCTGGCATGTCAGCAACTCCTCCTAGTTATGTTATGTGGAGGCTTGCTGATGGTACACTCTCTTCCACTACCTAGATCATAAATGAGGATGTTAAACAGGGCTGAATCTGGTATTGATCCCTGAAGCACACCATTGATCACAACTCTGGGCCGAGCCATTTTATTAGTTTTTGATCAACCTTACAGTCTGCCCATCCAGCCTATACATCAACAGCTTGTCTCCTCCCTCCTCTCAGGATCCTGAACTCCATTATGTGAAAATCATTGCAGCCAAGGCTGCCTTTGATCCTGACATCCCCAACAAGCCTCTTATTGGTGGTGAACTTCTTGAATTGATTGTATCTTGCTGTGTTGTCCGATCAGTAAATACTAGGCGGTTGAAGTCCTCCTTGAGGACCGGTGCCTACACCAGTACTGGGGTTGTTCCCATCTGTCTGTAGAAGGCCTCATCCACTTGTTCTTTCTGGTCAGACACTGTGTGACCTTTACCTGTCCTCACCCGTAAGCTCACAATCAGTTCCTCATTCATCCACAGGCAGAGCTTCATGCTCTCCAGCTGTGCTGTCACATAGAAAGCGCCTTCCTTTACCAACCTGTCCTTCCTAGAGAGCTTTTATCCCTTCATGGCATCACTTTAGTCATGGGAGTTGTCCCACTACAAATCCCAGGAGATCTGTAACCCTGTGACTAAACTTTCAGAAAGTCTAAACATTTTAGTCAGGATATAAAACTGGAAATTTCAATTTCCTTGGATTTTTTTTTCCTCTATTAACACTAGCATGTATCTTCCAACAAGCTTTGTGGTGCAGGTAAAGACTGCTTCAAATTATCTTAAAAAGCTTTATCTTAAGTGTTAGAACCTAGTATCTATAAGGTATTTTTTAAAATAGAGTTTGAAAAGCAAATAATTCAGTTTCTCTGCATTTATATTACTCATAAAGGGATTCTGGATTGTTTGGGATTTTAAGTCTCCTCAGCAAAAAGTGTGTTTATAGATATAGTATAATAAAGAAAAAAAGAAAAAAGTGTTCAAATGATGTTTTCTGTTACGCAATTTAAAAATGGCACTGTGCTTGAGGTTATGAAAGGATGAGAACTAAAGCAAGGGATATTTCTAGCCTGTCCTTACCAGTCTAAAATAAATGAACTATGTAAATAGAAGTCAGTTGTCAAAGGTAAATTGTATGTTTCTGTCTCTTTGATTGCTTAATATGCAAGAGCGCTCACTTTTTATTCTATTTTTGGAATAAATAACTAAGCAAATTGAAAAAAAATCAGGTTTAAGTGAATTCTCACAGTGATAGTTCTGTGGTTTGTTTTTTTTCTTGTATGGAGCCTGAAAAACTGTTATCCAGTGGGCATCAGTAAATATTGAAGAAGATCTGTATTCTGGTAAGGCTTTCTAAAGCCTTTGAAGAAGATTATTTTGGGAGAACTTAGAATTTATGCCATCATGACAGATGATTTGTTTAACCCCTGATTTTTCCCAGAAGAAGCAGATTGCTTGTAAATTTGCTTGTCTTCCTGTATTGAATTTCATATATCCCTTCTCATAGTGACATACAACTTTTACTAATGCATAATTAAATTTCTGTATTTATCTATCTTAAAAATAGTGGGATAAGTTGTCCAGGACAGTTGTGTGTGTTTTGCTCTGGTTGGGTGAGAGATGCCTGGTTGTCAGCTGCTGCTTAATGGGAAGCCCACTCCTCCTTTGCCTTGCCTGGGCAGCAAGAGATGTTGAAGTAATTTGATGAGACGTAGAGAACTGTAGATGTGAGGAGGTCTTCCTCCTTGCCAGAGGTAGGTGGACATTTGTCTTGCAGTCTCACGAAGGCTTGCATCACCTATGCTAATATCACTGGATGGAACTTACAACATTGCTGTTTTCATCCTTTATTAGGGTCTGAGAACCCTGCTTGGGAGGTGATGATGGGAGCACAAGCACAGAATATGGCATGGCAAGAAAAGATGGCCCGAATGAGAGTGCAGGGCTGTACGAAGTTAGGGTAAAATGCTGTGGGCACTTGGTGTGTGGGCACACCGGTGAGTAGACTGCCAGGATGAGACCAGGGGGCCTGTGCCCATTTTGCAGGCAGGGTAGGTGTGGTGTTGCTAACTATCACAAACTCCCAACTGTCTTGCTGGTGTTGTTAGTGCCTCTGCCCATTGCCTTATAGTCTGTGGCTTTGTCAAGAAAATAAAAGATCCATCTAGCACTTTCAGTAATACTGAGCAGAATTTAGGCATTGCATAATGTAACTAAGTACTTATTAAAAGAAAAAAAAAAAAAGAAAAAAGAAAAAATTCAAAATCAGGATAATTAAATTGGGCATTTCCTGTCTTGGAAATTCCAAAATTCATGTGGATTGTGCAGGTATCCCAGGTACTGGTTGCACACTTGAGTGCGGCTTTGCAGTGTTGGCTAGGGAGAATGCACTGACTTCTTGTTGTTTGCTATTGCATTTTATTACTTTGTTAATCAACTGATGCAATAGTGATAAGAGCTACTGAAATTAGCATCTGTAACAGATGACAATATTTTCCACATACAACTCTGTTTGGTGTACTTTGCTTTTGTGTTCTCTGTGGAGGATGGAAAAGATAAGTCTTCTTCCCTGATAATGGTTTCTCAAATTCTCCCATTGCAGAGCCTGTTCCGTGATGTATTTTTTGTGGGTTTTTTGTGTTGTTTTTTTTTTTTTTTTTCCAGAAGGTGGATCACAGCATTTTATTTCCAATAAATCTGTCAAGTATTCATTTGATGCCCACTGATGTGAGGCAGATGGTTTTCTGACTCAGAAACAGTCAAAATAGCAACTCTCTGCTTTCCTGATTTATGTTAGTATTTCACATTGTTTGTTCCCTGCTAGCAGGTCCTTACCCTGAAATTTTTCTAACAGTTGCAATTTTCTGCCCTTTGAGAGAGCAGGAGCTTATCTCTTCCCTTTTCTCTGCCTTTGCACTAATTGTGTGTGTCAACAGGAAGGTTCACTGCTCTCTGTTGTAGTTGTGCTCTGCCAAACTGAGAAGGGCTCTGTTAATTGTTTCTTTTACTGCAGTTGCTTTGTTTTCAGTCACCAGTACAAACATGGAAAACTCATGCACGTGGTGTACAGATTATTTTACTACATTTAATCAGAAGTTGATTTAAAAACGAGCAAAATGTTTAAATGAAATTAGGTCATTTATATTTATCTCAGAAAATTTTCAGCAATTGTACTGAAAACTGAAAAGTAGACTTGTGGTCACTTTAATTACAGTTTTATTATTTAACTAAGCTTTTCAAGTTTATTTTTGCATTATAAATTTTGTATGTATAAATGTTCTTGTTTTCAAGCAATTGCAGCTCATATTTTGTTACATAGCCTAAAACATCATGAGGCAAACTTTCAAAAAAATACAAAGCACTCAACTCTAATGAGAGACAGTGATGGAGGTGTGCTAATTTGGAAATCAGGCCATTGTATGGGGTTTTTTTGCTCCTTCTACCCCTTACATTACATAAAAACAGTTTCATAGTAGATTCTGTGTGACTTCCTAGTGGATGTGAATTAAGGAGTTATTCCAGATAATTTTCAGAACAGGGAAGGAGGGGAAGAGGAGGAGTAATTAAATTGAAAGCAGAAAGGACAGGGTCCTTAGTGCATTTTAGTCATTACTTAAGCTAACAAGAGTAAGAACATCTTGCATGATTCAGCAATGAGCGTTCACTGTGATCTGTCACAGCCCTTTTTTAATATGCAAAACTTTACCTAAGGTCAACAAATAATTTCCTCTCAGTCAAACTTAATAATATGAAAAGGGCTCTGTCTTGGAAACTTATACATGAAAGGACATATTTCTGCTTTGAGGAATTCCCTGGCTTACAGCAGAGTAAGCACTAAGTCAGCCAGGTCTTTTGTCTTCTTCAGAAGGTAATACTATGTGTTTTATTGCCATTTTGCTTTTCTGTAGGTAGGTGACCTAGGCTAGAAGTATAACCATGGCTTTGGGAAGACTCAAGACTGTTCATAATGAAGATTTCCTAAGCCCCAAAAATATACAGGAATTCAGAAGGCTGCTCTGGAAACATTACCTGACATTTATTGTTGGGATTGGTGCTGAACTGTTTTGTTCCAACTGTTTAGAAGGAAAAAAAATGTTTAAGGGAAATGATTATTGCTTTGAGACTTTTCATTGCGGCTTGAAAAGAAAGTATAGTGTAGAAATAATGGCATGGAATTGTTTTCTTCTAACTGCTTTATTTCCCCTGACCTTTCCATTAAAATAAGAGTACTGCCTTGAAAGTAATTGTTTAACTGCTGTTTCTTCTCTAAATACTTACCTGTAAGACTGTGCATCACAATGTGGGTGGTATTTCTGTAATTCCAAGGCATGGGTGCTCTTAATGTGTTGGATAGCAAAGCACAAAGTTGTTTGACTGTGTGTAAACAGGAAAGGCACAAGACAAACAAGCCTAGTAAGACTAACTGAAATTACAGTGACTTGAAAAATGATTGTTTTTACATTATTTTCCATTACAATAATTAGATCTGACCTAAACTGAGAATTAAATAATGATAATAATAAAATAAAATGCTTTGCTTGAGCAAAGATTTGTAGGAAGAACAAAGTCATTTTTTAACCTTATCTATAATCATTCAGTAAAACAGATGTAAAAGCTTCTGATGTCTTCTACTCCATCACGTTATTTCTAGGTTCACAGTGAATCCTTTCTGCAGTTTCCAGAGGTTCTTAGCCTTTGCTTGTTTAAACCTGGGACGTTTATCTTGTGGAGGGAAGTTGGCACTAGAGACCACCCTTTCTTCCTAGAGATACTCTCACTGCAGCCTTTTTTAGCTTTTATGTCTGGCATCTTCGGGTTCTGCCCTGTTAAACGGCACTTAGGGTTTTGAAATGCTCAGTACCCTGCTGCAAAGGGCAGCTTGCATTTTGTACCCTCCCACCCCCAAAGTGTACAGCCCCATGGAGAACTCCAGTTACCTAAACACAGTAATTTAGTGGGTGATAAATGCATTCCCCTCTCACCAGTCTACTGAAGGTAAATAACTTGCAAGACCCTTTACCAAGGAGTGATCATGAGAAAGTGGAGAAGTGAAGGCTAATAGAAATATGTCTTTGGAAATGGAATGATTCTGGTGATCACTGAGGACAGAGCTCTTCTGGGCCTGAGAACAGCTGCTTGGAGACAGACTGACTTCCCTGTGACTACTGAACGCTTTGAATATTTAAGCATTTTCTTCCTTTATTTTTGTATGCAGTACATTAGCTTTTTGTTAGCTAAATTTCCTTCTACCCCCATTCACCCTGAGAGCATAAAAAGATACTGCTAAAAATGTCATTTCTGCTCGTAAGATCCCAAGAATGGGAAATGGGGCAGGTTTATATAAATAGCATTTAGCATTAAGATGCATTTTTTAGGTTGTTTGCTTTCTGAAATTAGTTCTACTGGTTTCTTTCATCTTTATTGTGTATTTATCATAAAAGGTGATTTTTCTTTGACTCACTATTTAAAGTAAGATATGTACATTGAAGTCAAATTTTGAGCATCAAACATAAGTGACAGCTCAAAATATTCATACCACAGATTCTAGATTGAAGCGACTGCTTATGTTGGCTACCTTTTTGCCGTGTAATGTGTGGGATGTTCTATTTTCATCAATAGATGCACTCTTAATCCAAATTAAGCATTGTAGGCTGTTGTAGAAGTACTGCAAGATCAGTGCATGCAATATGATATTTTTGGCAATCGTCAGTTTGTTTTCTGTTCTACTTCTTGCTCCCCTCCTCTCTCCACAGCATCATTTTTTTCTTCAATGAAACTGAAGAATGCGTTCAGTAGCGCTTCTCAGCAGCTCTGCAGCCTGTGGAGAGTGTGGGTAGTCTGTATTCAGCATCCTGCAACTGTGTGTCCCCTTGAAGAAGTGATCTGCTGAAAGTAAATACTTACAAGACAGGCTGGAACAATCCTTTTGCACTGCTCTCGAAGTCTGAAATACCTAGTTTCTGATACTACCTGGAATTTGCATTTCTTTTGCTAAAGAAACGCTACCTGCTGCAGTTATCCAGGGTTTCTCAAGGAGCAAGGAAACTGAAGATGACTCTGCTTGCTTTTTATTCAGTTTGGGCTGTTTTGCTGGAATTGGCAGTGGCATTTGGTCCTGTACCAAGAATCACTTGGGAACACAGAGGTAAGAAGAGAAACTTCATTAGTGTGATGTGGGGCATTACAACATCAGGATTTTGTGTGTATATTCTTCCAGCCTGCTTACAGAAGTTTGGTCAGTTTGTAGTTTTGCTCAGCCTGTTTGTAGTGCTTTGGACTAGAAAATTCAAAAGTCACTTGGGCACTGAGTTGACTGATTGCATATCCTTAAAACAGTTATGAAAATGTCACTTTTTAAAAGAGGATTTTCAGATTGAAATTTCTCAGCTGGACGATCTTGCAGCTGAATCTTGAGGAAAACTGAACAGCAATTTTGTTTTAATAAAGTTATTTTGACTTTAGTTCTGAATATAATTAAAGAAACCTTTGGTCCTCTTCTGGCAGCGTTCTGTGATGAGTTGAACCTCTGTAGCCTTTTTCACAGAACCTTCTTTTGCTGTACTAGGAAGCTGTGGCAAATAGTTGTAACCTCCTGATACAGTTAGCAGGAGGTGGCAGATGAAGAGATGAAGTATCAGATATTCCTGTAGGCTTTTGGTTTAATTGTTCAGCCTGGATCTGAAGAGAGCTCTAGAGCACAGGCTATAAAGTAGTTACTTGCTGTTGTTGAACTTTTTCTCTTTTTTTTTTTTTTTTTTTCCTGCACTTTCAAGTATCATGGATATTTTGGCATTTAAAAGATCTTTTGACTTGTGCTTTTACTATTGGTTAACATTAGCAACCTTGGAATGCTGTAACCAAACAAATATATGGGTATCATGAAGAAGCAGCCTTAAATAAAAATGTATATGCTGAAGAGTCACACCACAGGAAAAGATAAATGGAGGTTAAGAACGTAGATAGCTGATTTATGAGATGGCTGTAGGATATACTTTTCCTATTTTTCCTGTTTATTGATATTATTGCATTTAAGTATGAGAAGCTTTGAATAGAAGTGAAACTTTAGTTCATTGGAGAAATGAACATCTAGAATTGTCTGAGCCAACTCATCCATTTGGAAAGTGAAAGATTTTAAAATGCATGCTTGTGAATCTAATTTAAAATAAGTGTTTCCCAAGTTCTACAGATGAAAAGGTGCAATTTTTGTGTTAGAACTGGGAGTAGTAGTATGTTTTCTGTCTGTCTCTTAAAAATGAAACTAAATTAGCCTTTTAATAGTCTTTTTTACAAAGTCTGTCATCCAAATTTCAGTAATTTTCCCATAACACTTGCACATGCAGAATAAATTTTTCTTGTTTATTAATAATTCTGTCATCTTTCTCCAAGCCATTCTGTTCCAGTTTGCATGCCTCTTTCCCTCATGTCTCCCTCTTTCTTTTGTCTTCTTGCTTTTTATTTTGATTCTCCCTCATTCGTTTCTATTGTGTGCAATTACTTCCAGGCTCCATTTGAAAATCAGCTTGTTTACACTGTGTACATAGTTTCTTTTCAGATTGTATCTTCCTTCTGCTGTGTCTTCTTTCTTGGTGCAGGATTGTTAGTTAGATTTGTGTGGGGAGGGTAAATTCACGTGGTGAATTATTTAATTTATTTTAATTAAAAAATAGGTAAGTATGTGGAAGGGAGAAGGTGAGGAAAGAACTGACAGTAGAGGTATTAAAATGGAGGTTAGAAAAAGAAAGAATTAATGACTGGAGAAAATGAAGTAAGACATGAGTTACAGGGATCATTGCAGGAGGAGATTCATAGGCATTTGAAATTGAACTAGAAAGTAGGGACCATTGATTTTAATGTCAGTAATGGGAGCTGCTGTTTGTGCTGAACCAAGCTTCCAAGGTTATATATCAGCTGTTACTGTGTTCTTCAAAGTAAGCTTTATTGCTTTCAAAGTTACTCAAAGGCTGTTAGACAGTTTAGAATAATGGCCTATAAACTTGACCCTAAGTGATCATGTTTCTCCATGTCCTGCTATTTTCCTTGCATTTCAACAGAGGTCCAACTAATACATTTTCATGAACCTGGAGTGTCAAACTATTCAACCTTGCTGTTAAGTGAGGACAGAGATGTTCTATACGTAGGAGCCAGAGAAGTCATTTTTGCATTAAATGCAGTGAATATTGCTGAAAAACAGCATGAGGTGAGTATGTATTTAATACATTATCGTCCATGGAAAAATCATACTTCCAAGTTTCACTTCATTTCCTGTTATCAATAGCACCATGCCTGTGATGAGGGTCTTGCCTCTTAAGTTTCTGCTTCTGTTCAATGTTTTGAGTTGTGTCTGCACATTTATGTGATGGTACAAAGAGATATGATCCAGCTCATTTGGAATTAGCTTACCTGCAGAAGTACTTTGGATGTACTGACTCTTCTCTGAGTGGATTGACCTATGTAGAAATCTGCTAATGTGATCATGTTACCCCAAGTTCTTCTCAAGCTCCGTACTTACTCATCTATAACACAGACTGGTGCTTAGAGACTTGGCATGCAATCCCATCCAGGATGTTTTGAAAGATAATCTTTGATTTTTAATTTGAACAAAATGTTTAGGGATGGTGATAGGAAATTTCACATGTATATAAAACTTGGTTTTCCATTACTGCTTTGAGTGGATGTAACTGCCAAAGTTATTCTTTAACATAAAGCATAACTTGGTCCAATAAGTTTTGTTAAGTTTTTTTTCTAGTGCAAATTAAATAAGAAATAATTAAAGCAATTACACTTGCATTTCTCTAATGAATATGTTAATAGAGAATTTCATTAATTGGAGGAGAAAGATCATAGTGAACCCAAAAGATGCTAGCAGTGGTTCTTCACTCTTTGATGACCCATTCATTTGAAAGTGTCACCTCTACTGAAAAGAATGGCTTTAAACCTTTGAAAGCTACTTACAAAAAGATTTATAAATACTGCAGCCCCTAACATTAAAATTGCTTGTTTTGTGCATTATGCAAGGTCTGAAAATACTGCATTTGCCTTAAAGTGTTCTGAATACAACTTTTTTTTGCTTGTTTTTCGTTTAGTTGCACTGGAAGGTCACTGAAGATAAAAGGACCAAATGTGCAGTCAAGGGCAAATCAGAACAGGTATATTTTTCTATTGAATCTGGAGAAAGACATTTCCTTTAAGGAGAAATGATGATAAAGAAGAAAGGTTCTAAGTATTTGAAATTAAAATCTTCAAATCACCTAAATTATTTAATAAACTCGAGCTTTGGAAACTGCAGTTCATTTTCTTGTAATCCTTAGTTCATTATTTCTTGCTGTTGAATCTTGTTTGAATCTGAGCACATTCTCACGTGCCTAGTATTATTTTTTCCATTATATTAATAAACTAATATTGCTTTCACTGAGCTAATAGATACCAGCTATTATGTTTTATTAATAAGTAATTCTTCACCAGCATTTGGTTTTCCAGAATGACTGATAATTTTATCTGCTTTGCTCTAGGATGTAGGGTTTATTTTCTGGGCCAGTGTTTTTCCAGCAGTGCATTTTTCACCAACTGCAGACATCTTTGTGATGCTGAACAGGTGTGCTCCTTGCTGGTCTGACTGCTCAAACAGCTCCCCATTGCCTGAGCAGCCCAATCTCTTATGTGCTTGGCAGCGAAGGCAGCTCAGTCTCTGGGCCCCCTCAGCATTTCTGGCAGCCACAGACCCCTTCAGGACTGCTGGCACAGACTGGCTTGCTCATACTGCCTTTCTGTAGAGGTAGTTTATTTATGGTGATTGACCTTAGATGGTTGTACCTTTCCCCTTGTGTTGTGTTGTGCCACTGGCTTTATAATATGTCAGACTGGGGGTTTACTTGGCAAGATTGATGGTCAAATTTTCACTGTAGTTTTTAAAGTGTAGGGTTCAGAAGGCAGCACGTGCAAAAATTAGTACTACTATCCAAATAGAGAGTTTTGACATCTCACATCTCCAATTTCTTTGTTGCACACTGATTATAAAACCCCAGGTGCATCCAGGAACTCATCTGAAGTGAAGTGGGTTACCTCCCCTTTACCCAGCTCTGCATTTGCTTGAACTGAGAGCCATCAAGGCAATTTACCTGCCTAATATGAGGTCTGATGGGCTCTTGAGGACTGGTTCTTCTTCCCCTTTGGCTCTTCTTGATGCATTCTGATTACTTTATTCTCCAGGTTTGACTGAGGTTGCTAGTAATAATTATACACAGTCATGACTGTGTATATGTGATGTGACTCATCTTTCATGCACCTGCACATGCTTTTGCAGACATGTCTAGATATGCACCAGTCCTTTTCAGAGATTATTGATGGTGATTGGAAAGGATGTTAGAATCTGTAAGTAGGCACTTTGCTCTTAACTCTCTCAGAACTCCAGACTGTTCTTCCTATTTTTTTTCTGCCTCTAGATTAGCAAGTTTTACTTGCTATTAGACTTATTGCCAGCAATGCTTTTTCTCCATTGTACTCAGGATTTATTACTAGCTATGATTATGCTATAGCTATAATGTTTTGCAAAGTGCAGGTGTTTGAAGTGTTAAAAATATTGAACAATCATTGCTGTTTCTTATACTAAAATGGGCAGTCTTCTCCCCCACCTGTCATCGCTAAGCTATGCAGTGCTAGCAAAAAAAACCCACTTACACACCTGCTCAAGGAACTAATCTGGCAGAAAACTGGTTTTGTTCTTTTTGTCTCCAGTTTTCTTCCATACCTGATCTACTACACAGTCAGAGAAATACCTGGTTTATCTCATAAGAATGAAGAGTAAGGACAGTGGTTATACTTGTTTAAATAGTTTATGGAACTGCGGTACAGTGTTGGTATCTGGCTGTGTAGCAGAGAGGATTAAGGGATGTTGATGACACTGTTTTTGCCTCCACTGAGTGCATGTTTACAGTGTTTGTCTTCGTTGTTCTGAATCCTTACGGCACGGATATCTAACCTTTTGGCTTGTCTGGGTCTCAGAGAGCAAACAGGAATTGTCATGGGCCGCATATGAAGTATATGATACAGTTAAAAAAGCATGGCTGCATATTTTTCACTGATCACAGAACTGTTTAACCAGTGTATCAAAATGCATGAAATTATTTGCCATAACTAGAGCTTGCCATAATTTAAGTTTCATTTCAAACACTTTTACTGTCTGAAACATAGCGCAGATAAGTCGATTTGAAAGCACATGTTTAACTCAGTTAAATGAGCGAACAAATCAGAACAAACCAGAAATGCTATATTTGTGAGCCATTTTTCATCTTAGGATTATGGCACAAATTTAATTTTGATTCCATAAGGGACTTGATTTTATTTTGCAAATCACGAAGCATTTTTAGCATCTTACCCCGACTTAGCCACATTCCTTCAGAAAAGTAAATAATGTCTCCATAATCAGCGTCCATACTTTCAAGGATCTCCTGGAATCAGTGATGATTCAGTCCCATGGATGTCACGAAATTCACAGCTTTGATGATGATTTGCAAGATATTATCAATTTTTAAAGTTTTCTCACATAAATTTTCTTGATGTGCAATGCAGTGATGTTTCATCAAATGTGAGTTTTCAGTGGCAATTGCATCATCTTCCATTAATTTTATAAGTCCCTCTTTTTTCACCAACTATTGCTGGAATGCCATCAGTAACTACACCAGATATGTTCATTTAAGTAAATTGCTTTAATTTTTTTTTTTTTTTTTTTACTGCTTCAAACAAGTCAAGAGACTTAGCTGTGTCTTTTAATATCACCAAAGAAGCCATTTTTTCAGTGACGTTAATATTTGTTATTGATAGTTCTAATGAAAATGGCAAGGTGAGCCATATCTGTAGCATCAGTACTTATATCTGTTGCCAAAGCATAAAGTTTGAAATAGCAGCTTTACTCTAAATTTCTTCCACTGTATTTTCCTGTTTCTTCAGTTCACCTGGCTACAGTCTGGTGAGGCAAACAGATTTTTCTAAAATCCACTTTCTTATAAGGACACATTATATCTGCCATGCTTTCCATTTATTGCTTAACAAAGTCACCATCAGGAAATGGTTTTGATTTTTTTTTTTTTGCAGTCAGATCTGCTACCGCCTACATAGCTTTTGGTTTGAGTTTGAACTTTCTAAAAAAATACTCGGTTCAGGTGACAGACTTTCTTTCGGTTCCACTATTTTGTCTTGGTAATGCCTTCTTTGATATGCATCGAATTTGGCACTGTTTCTGCATTCTGCATGTTCCTATTCTCTTCAATATCTTTATTGATGACCTGGATGAGAGCACTGAATGCACCCTCAGTAAGTTTGCAGATGACACCAAGTTGGCTTGAAGTATCTGTTGATCTGCCTGGGGGTAGCAAAACCCTACAGAGGGATCTGGACAGGCTGGATGGCTGGGCTGAAGTCAGTGGGATGAGTTTCAGCAAGGTCAAATGCCAGGTCCTGCACTTTGGCCACAAAAACCCCAGGCAATGCTACAGGCTTGGGGCAGGGTGGCTGGAAGACTGCATAGAGGAAATGGACCAGGAGGTATTGATTGATGCTCGGCTGAACATGAGCCAGCAGTGTGCCCAGGTGGCCAAGAAGGCCAATGGCATCCTGGCTTGCATCAGAAACGGTGTTGCCAGCAGGAGCAGGGAAGTGATTGTCTCCCTGTACTCAGCTCTGGTGAGGCTGCACCTCGAGTACTGTGTCCAGTTTTGGGCCCTTCACTGCAAGAAAGACATTGAGGCTCTGAAGCGGGTTCAAAGAAGGGCAGCAAAGCTGGTGAGGGGTCTGGAGCACAGGCTTTATGAGGAGTGGCTGAAGGAGCTGGAATTGTTCAGTCTGGAGAAGAGGAGGCTCAGGGGAGACCTTACTGCTCTCTATAACTACCTGAAAGGAGGTTGTAGATAGAGAGCTGGATGTTGGCCTCTTCTCTCATGTAACTGGTGATAGAACTAGAGGGAATGGCTTCAAGCTGCACCATGGGAGACTTAGGCTGGATGTTAGGAAATACTACTTCTCTGAAAGAGTGGTCAGGCACTGGAATGGGCTGCCCATGGAGGTGGTGGAGTCACTGACCCTGGATGTGTTCAAGGAATGTTTGGATTTTGTGTTGAGGGACATGGTTTAGTGGGTACTATCACTATTGGTGATAGGTGAATGGTTGGACTGGATGATCTTGAAGGTCTTTTTTAATCTTGATGATTCTGTGATATAATGTCTTTTCAAATTGTAATATTCAAAAGCTGACACAATTTCTTTACAAATAAAGCACAGTGTATATTATTTCTCAGTGCTACACTGTACCCTGCCAGTGTTCCAGTGCTGGACCAGTTGCTGGGGCAGAGCTGATGCCATGAAGGCGTGGGAGCAGGTTGTGGGCTGCAGAGCAAGCTGTGCTGGGCCGTATGCAGCAAGGTTGAACATGCTTGCCTTATGGCATCCTTTTTTTAAAGCTTTGTTCAAACTCCATATTGTCATGATGTGGCATGAATAGCAGCAACAGAATTGACAGCACAACTTCATTTATTTATGTTGTAATGTGGAGCTATGGTTTATCCCTTTTCTCGTCCTTTATTACAGACTGAGTGCCGTAACTATGTGCGTGTCCTGCAACAGCTAAACGATACTTTTCTCTACGTGTGTGGTACTAATGCATTTCAGCCAACTTGTGATTACCTGGTAAGAATATGTAGATTTTGTGACCCAGAAAAACTTCAACAAAAAAGCAACTCATCTAAACAATGAGTTAATCTTTTTTTTCCCAAATAGTGTTGCAATTTCAGTGCTTGTCATAGCTTCTGAAATATTCATTATACTCCCTCACAATGATTATTAGTATACAGAAATAAACTGTACTGTTCCCTTTTCAAAACACTGAATTATTAATTCAGCTTAGTTATCAGCAGATCTACTCTTTCATTGCTTTTTGTAGTTCTCTGTGCATTTTGCATTAGCATAAAAGTACTCTCTGAAACTGAAATGACATTCTTTGTGACTTCCATCCAGTACTGAATCTTCCTGAAATTTCTAATATTCCTGTCCCTATTTGTCTTGTCTCTGCTTCTGGCAATGCCATAGCTTCATAATTCTGAGTGCTTTAGAATGAAGTCTTAGCTTAAAATCAAACGTCCCTTTTTTCATTGCTTACTCTTCTGTTCTTCTCACTGTGTCTCTTAACGATTCTGAAATTCAGAGATGTTGTAATTATGTTCAACTTTGTTCTTTTTTGTCTCCCCTGCCTTTAAGTTCATCTGCCATTAGCCCTGGAATATTGCCAGAAGTCACTGTCCTTAGCCTCCAGTGTCTTCATTACACAGTATAAGTGATTATTTTCCCGATATTGTTGCTTCAGCTCTTGATCATCTTTCTGATCCTTATTCCCTTGGTTTTTAGAAGTTTTATAAAGTAGCAGTCATTCTGTTGTTTTCGAAAAATACATCTAAATTATACCCCTTCTAACAAATATAACAGTCACAAAAATTGCTAAGCAGTCAGAAAACCTTCTTACTTAGTAAAACTGACAATTTTTGTGCAAAGTAATTCCATAATTGCAAGTTCTTGCCTTTCATCATCTAATTTCTTTGCCTTTCATATTCTGTGTTTTTTTGGCAGATCTCTCTCTCTTTCCTATCTTTCTCCTTCTATGCTGGATTTAACTTTTTGTCTATTCTTTAATGCTACTTCCCTCAGTTTCTTATTTTTCTTTGTTATACTTGATCATATTTTCTGAAAACTTGTATGGGTTTTATAATCTTGGGAAAATAGGCATTTCACTGAAAGTTACTGGTCTGTTACTGGTTGGGATTTAGTTACCTTTGTGTGTTTCAGTTGGTTGAATGAAAGAGTACAAATGGTTGCCTTGTGGTTTTCAACTTAATTTTTTGCAGAATTTAATTTTGTTTGAGCTTGAAGGTAAGAATGAAGATGGTAAAGGCAGATGCCCATTTGATCCTGCTCAAAGTTACACATCTGTTATGGTTGGTAAGTTCAGTCATTGCATACCTCGTTATGATGTATAAATATTCAGTCTTCTCCACTACTGTTCTCCGGTCTTTCACTATTAAGATAGTTTCTAAATCTTTACTGTGCATGTAAGTAGACATAAAAATACTCACGAGGTCAACCTTAATGTGTTTCTTAAAAGCAGAACATAGGAAAACTTTTCTGGAAGCAACTTTTAAAACAACAGCTTTCAATATAATAATTTTCAAATGCTTTAGTCTGGATAATCTAAATGTATTTTTACTGCCTCTATAGTACCAATTACAGCCATTTAAATAATTTTAACAAGTAGAACTTTTAGCTTTCCTTAAGACACACGGTGAAACGGAACAGGAAAGTGAAACACAACTATATATTGCAACTATATTATCACGTGGTTAGATGACTATATATTGATGGAGATAGACTAGAGCTGATAGGTGTATCATGGTGTCACAAGATCATAAAAAAAAGAAGCTCGAAGTAACGTGAAACAGGAAATGAAGAAGAGCTCAATCACTATATTGTTTATTTTATTTGAATGATAAAGAGAGAAAAACAATTAGTTCCAAAACTTCTGTGGCACTTCTTAGATACGTTTTGATACATAAACATAATGTTTCAATAGGGAGAGTAAAAGTACCATGTTAAAGTACCAACAGTGCTGACTTTTGCCAGGTGCTTATGTTAGAGAAATAATGAATGAAGTTTAAAAGAATTAGCTCTGAGAATGGTCAGTAGAAATATAGACATAGAAGACACGTCTGGGGCAACTGAGAGGAAATACTTGTTTATCTTTTCTTGTGAGAAGTTTAAGCTAACATAGTCTCTTGAAATATTTATGCACGTTTTTTGGTATACAGTGCATAAGAAAGTTTAAAATATTTGTTTTTGTTTTAAAGATGAGGAGCTTTATTCTGGGACTTCTTACAATTTCTTGGGAAGTGAACCTATTATTTCACGGAACTCTCATCAGAGTCCTCTGAGAACAGAATATGCAATACCTTGGCTTAATGGTAAGTGGGTGTGAGAGCACACCAGATCACATTTTTTTTCCTCCTTCAGTGTGACAAATTCAGACAAAGAGTTTGAGCTTCCTTTCTGAGGTAAGGAGCAATTGTTCACTGTCTCAAAGAGGGTGATTTTTGTTATATCGGTATGTGCCCTTAGCAGAATTTTTTTTCTCTTTAAAATTTCAGAACTTTTATCAGCATGAACAATGAAAACAGCTTGGAGATACATAGACTTTCAATGACAAGTGCTGTGTTTTATTTTATATTGTTTGTCCTTGCTATGATACAACATACTTGTGATGCAGTAAGAAGAATATTCCTTGTCCTTAACATATATATTTTAAAGCCAGTATGTTCTTGGTTCCTGATTATCTCAGTTCTTGACTTTCAGAATTGGCGTTTGTGAACTCCCAGAATTCTGTGACTTTGGGCCCAAAAAAGACTAAAATTATGAAGTCAGCATATTGTCAAAAAAAAAAACCAAAAAACAAAAAAACCAACAAAACAATAGCAACAACAACAACAGAAAAAAACCCACAGTGTCCAAATACGAGAGGATGCTGACTTTGTAGTACATCCTGTTATTATTGTTGTATTTGGTATTTCAGTTAGCAGCAGAAATACTAAGTGGCTGGTATTGTGTACATGTAGTTGAAATAAAGTTGTTTTACAAGATGGAGTTAACCTAAATCTTATATCCAATTTCATGCATGGGGGCTGAATGACAACAGTGAGTATATGCATGTTTGAAAACCAATAGGGCTTTGGAGTGTGGTTAGTATTTTTGGATTTGTTTACAATTTTTCTGTGGGACTGTGTGGGTCTTTATATGTGTCCAGCCAGCTTCTAGATTTGTAGGTGCTGGCAAATCATTGCTTGTCTGTTTTAGCTAATTCTATCCTTAAATACGAATGAACAGAAATATACCATATGCCTTGCCTTAAGTTTGCATCAGGGAGGAGAGATGGGTGATGGAGGACAGGTATCCAGGCCTATCAGAAAATCATGTTTGAATATAGGTGAAAAATGAGGAGTAATGAGATATAACAGACTAAGAGGTACTAGAGATCTTTAAAGCATGTTATGTTAAATAGCTGGTTTTTTTCCTCCACAATTGTACTTTTTTAGAAGTGCTAATCATGGGCTCAACAACAAACAGTGTAGGCAAATCAGTAACTGAAGAACATTTAAACGCAGTGTGAGGTCTGTGAGAAGAAAATTCCTAGAGAGTTTTCAAGAGAATGTAGTTAAAAGAGTTGTTTATAATGTAAAATTCTTCTCTTCATATTTATAGAGCCAAATTTTGTTTTTGCTGATGTTGTAAGAGCAGATCAAAACAGCACAGATGGAGAAGATGACAAGATATACTTCTTTTTCACTGAGGTGTCTGTGGAATATGAGTTTGTTGGAAAACTTATGATTCCAAGAATAGCTAGAGTGTGCAAGGTGAGATATGGTTCAATTGTCTTTTACTAATAACAGTAGATTTTGTTTTTAGTGAAAAAATGACATTTATTGTAAATTAAATGGAAATGGTTTAACTTCATCTCATTGAAATAGCAGTTCTAACCAGTTTCTTATAACTGGCAAAATCTCCTTGTTGCTTTGGAAACTAGTATTTAATTTAATTGGTGGTGAAATTTCAGTACATATGAGGGTTCTGTCCTCCCTTGGGGGGTGTGGAAAAACAACAACAATGGCCAAAAAAAGGACTCTGGTTTCTGTTCTAGTTTTTAAACTGAAAGTTTAATTACAATCCCCTGGGGAAAAAAAAAAAAAAAAAAAGCTTGAGTTGCTGTTGAGCAGATAGGAAGTTTGTCAAAGATTCAAGTTATTCTCAGGCAGCCACATGCAAGCAAAATCATTTTCTCCTGTAGTCACAGCTAATAATAGCAGATGGGACTTCTGTGGAGCTGCCAGTGCCACAAACAAGACAGTCACCAGCAGTCTGATTCTGCCACACTTAGTGTGATTAAACCTCAATTATTTTGCTTCAATCAAGTAGTGTTGGTTAAAAATCTTGCTAATGGAAGAAGATATTTTTCCAGTACAAAATACCCTTTTGATTGGAATGTTATCAATTTCCTCAGTACTTTTTTTCCAACAGGAAACTTACCTAGCCATTTCATTTTGATTAAGTTGAAATGTTTTATTTTGACTTTACTCTTCTATATTTAAATATGGAAGTCAGAATATCAATAGCAAGTTAGTGCCCTTGAAATTTCCATTAAACAAGCAGCTGGAGGCAGATTTACATGGAATTTAATACTATGGCCCTCTGCCAGCCAACAGCTTGTGCACTCTTCAGAACAGGAGTATCACAGAACATGAGAGAGATATTGCTGCTGCTTGTTAGTAAAAGGAATCAATGGTGAATTGCAGTTCTAAAGGGATTTTTATTTAAATGTTCAGTTTTTTCTTGAATTCTTTGCATAAAAGCACTGGATAATGAACAAAAAACTATTAGTAGTGTCCAAATATGCCTGTTTTTGTAAAGAAATAACAGAGCTGCAACTCACAAATTAAATATTATGAGACATTTCTAGTCTAGTAAATTTATCTTTCAGTACTATAGATTCTTCATAAATGTGGTAACTGCCCACAGGATTAGGCCATTGGTGCATTTTTTTCCTGGTGAAATTGTTAATATCAGACATGTAAGTACATCTGGCAAGATTACAGTATAAATCATTCCTGTTTGGATGTCGGAGAACAGATGTGGTAGTTTGTTACTGAGTTAAAAGGATGTGTATAATACCTCCATGTTTACTTTAATTGTTCTAGTAAGCATTTGTGTTTTATAAAGGTACATTACTCAACTGTTTTTCAAATGCTGAAGTACAGTTCTTTTAGAAGTACAGTGTCTCATCTTATTTCCAGATGTTGACAAAAACCATTCTGCATTATTTCTGTTGACTCCGATAACTAAATAAATTCTATGGCTTCCTTACTTTTCTGTATATGAGCACATTAACAGTTTTTGATGTTGCTGTAGGTGAAATGTTAAAGAAGTATAGTAGTTAGAAAAGTTTGAAAAGAATTAGAAAATATGTAGCTTTATAGCTGTGATTCTTAAATGCAAAACTGCTGTCTAATTATTTTCATAGACACTTTTCTTTTTTTTCTCAAAAGAGGGACCAAGGAGGATTAAGGACTTTGCAGAAAAAATGGACTTCTTTTCTCAAGGCCAGATTGATATGCACCATTCCTGATAAGAATTTAATTTTCAATATCATCAATGATGTTTTTATTCTGAAGTCTCCAACCTTGAAGGAACCAGTGATATATGGAGTCTTTACCCCACAGCTGTAAGTGTGCTATTACAGTGTTTCTCTGGATGAATACTTTTGATCTCAACTAGTTGCTAAATCAAGGAATTACTTCTGTGGTTATTTTTTTCTATTATTCCTGTATTTTTAGGAATAATGTGGGACTGTCAGCCGTGTGTGCCTACAATTTGTCTACTATAGAAGAAGTTTTCTCAAAAGGAAAGTATATGCAGAGTGCTACAGTAGAACAGTCCCATACCAAGTGGGTACGGTACAATGGGGAGATTCCTAACCCTCGACCTGGTGCAGTAAGTTTCTGTAAATTTGGATATGATGCACAGGAGTAAAGAAACTAGAAAAGCAAACAAACAAACAGAAAAAATACAGTAAAAACAAAAAAGCCCTACTAAAGCATGTTATTAGATTGCCATGATATATTTTGTATTGTGTTGTAAAGATTTCCTGAAAGACACGTCAAGTGATTTATTGAATCTGGGAATCAGTGTTTTTTTAAACATACCATAGAGTGAATTGCAGTTTTTATTTATTTGTTATTTCATTACTAAGTTTCTAGTGGTGAAAAAAATAATAATATACCTTAGGGAGCATCAGAGATTTTTTTTAGTTCAAGTGAACAAAAGGGTAAAAATTGTTGCATTGTCTTACTAGGTCCACCAGGTATTGCTGTGCATGTTAAAATGCTCATAGTCCTGGGTCTCTTTCACTCTTGTGTTTCTTGTAATTGTCTTACTGCAACTGATGTGTAGGATTACAGTTAAAGTAGTTAAGAAACACAGGAATCCATAAAGTATTTTCCTGTAATATATTTTGGGTCCAAATAAAAATGTAATATGAACCATTTGCTTAGAGATCAGCATATTGCTGAAACCAAGGTGCTGTGGAACTTGAGTACCTTCCAGGATGAGTATAATGTACAGTAATGTCCTTATGTGCAGAAGAAAATGCATGTACCTGCTGCTAGGATGTAATTTGCTTTTCTCTCTATTATTTCTTTCTTCTATTTTAAATAACAGTGTATAAACAGTGAAGCCAGAGCCTTGAACTACATGACTTCTCTGAATTTACCAGACAAAACGCTGCAGTTTGTTAAAGACCATCCACTAATGGATGATTCAGTGACTCCAGTGGGAGACAGACCCCGCCTTGTAAAGCGAGATGTGAAATATACCCAGATTGTAGTAGACAGAGTCAGAGCACTCAATGGTACAATATATGATGTTATGTTCATCAGTACAGGTAAGTTCTGCGTAATATTCTTTTTAATAATGTATTTATTCTTCAAGCAGAAGTGTGCTCTAACAGAAACTCAAAATATTTACATATTTACAATATTTTTACAGTATGTGGTATTTGCATAGAAAAATGGGGAGCCACAATAAGTACATGGGGACCCTTGCTTGCTTTGAGGAGCTGCTGCAGGAGGAGAACTGAAAAAAAAACAACTTTATCAACAATGTTGACAGGGGATTCAGTGTATCCCTCAGCAAGTTCACTGATGACACCAAGCTGAGTGATGCAGTTGACACAATAGAAGTTGAGGGATGCCATCCACAGGGACCTGAATGGGCTTGGAAAGTGGGCAGATGAGAATCTAATGAGGTTTAACAAAGCAAAATGCAAAATATTGCACTTGGGTCGAGGCAGTCCCAGATGTGTGCAGACTGGGAGAACTCATTGAAAGCATCCCTGCAGAGGATTTGGAGGTCTGATGCAGTGTGTTCTTGCAGCCTGGAAGGCCAACAGTATCCTGAGCTGTATCAAAAGAGGGGTGGCCAGCAGGTTGAGGGTGATTGTCTCCCTCTACTGTGCCCTCCTGATGTCCCCTTTAGAGTACTGTCCTCAAGTGTGGGAGCCCCAGTACAGGGAAAATGTGAAGCTATATCAGAGAAGGGGGGTTCAGAGAAGGGTCATGAAGATTTAAAAGGCTGGAGCACCACTCCTATGAAGAAAAGTTGAGGAAGTTGAGCTTGGTTAGCTTGGAGAAGAGAAGGCTCCATAAAGAGTTCATAGTGTCCAGTTCTAAAAGAGAGCTTACAAGGAGGAGGGGGACCAACTTTTTGCATGATCTAAAAGTGATAATATGAGGGGGAGAGACTTTGAGCTCAAGAGGCGGGATTTCAGGTTAGATGTTATTCAGAAATGTTTTATTCAGAGGGCAGTGAGGCACTGGCACAGGCTGCCCAGAGGAGTTGTCAGTGCCCCATCTCTGAAAGCATTCAAGGTCAGGTGTGGTGGTACCCTGTGCAGTAACAGCCTGTTCTAGGGGGTTCCAGGCCTGTCCATGGCAGGGGGTTGGAACTAGATTATCTTTAAGACACCCTCCAACCTAAGCCATTCTGCAAACTGCGAAACGGTAGTGTTTTGCCTAAACATACAGGAGGTAATCCCTGAAAGCCATTCTTCATTTCAGAAGGCCTTTTCCAGAACTCCTTGCAGAGGCAGGTATAATGTTTACCACACAGGCTGATGTGAAGTCTCAGCTGTATAAATGATACAAACTGTAACAAGTGTTCATTTTTACCTGCCTTTTTATTTTAAGAATCTCACTTAAATACATTGCTATGTTATTGCAGATCAAGGAGCTTTGCACAAAGCTATCAGCTATGAAAATGGAATGCATATTATTGAAGAAACACAGCTTTTCCCAAACTTTGAGCCAGTTCAAACACTCATACTTTCATCCAAAAAAGTAGGTGCTACAAACATCACAGCGTTCATCTTTTTTCTTTTTTTTCTGTTCTGTAAAACTTATCTACCATCTTGTAAAATAATCATAATGAAGCAGTGCAGATCATAGAACTGTAGTTTCTGCAGTAGTATCATTATTTTCCCTGATAATTTCTGTTGCTTTTGATAGATCTCAAGTTTTTGAGGTTGTCTGGATCTGGGAAAAGTATGTGTGGTTGTAGAATGGGAACGCAGGTGTGCAGTGTCACTGGTTTTACAGGAGCTAAAAACTGTAATGTATTTAGAGGTACAGATTTTTAGGTTAGGAGTGATGTAAGAATTCTGACCCCTTGAGGCCAGGAAAAATCCCCAGGAAATAAATACAGGAGCGAAAATATTTTTCTGAGGAAACAGACATTAGTGGATAGAGTCTTTTCTAACAAACTGAAGAGTCTGTACTTAATTGATTTTTGCTTTTCCAGAGTTATCAGGCTAGTTTTGTCTGGAAGATTAATTAGGAGACTAAGCATATTGGTGCTGCTGCTAGTGTAATGCTGCTAGTGTAATGCTCTGAAAAGGATTTCTGGTGAGGTCATGCCAGCCAGACAGGGCTTCAGCCACAGCTGGAGGACACAAGCTTTGTTACAGGCTCCAAACACAGTGAAGTTTTGCATTGTTGAACAATCACTGGGTTTAATTGTTGAGTGATTTTTCAACAATCGGAGAATAATCATTTTGTGTATTTTGTACTCCAGTCTTCTGGCTCTGTTCACTCAGACATGCAGATCCATAAATGTCTACAAAAGTATTACCATAAGCGATAGCTTGTAGCATCAAACTCTTCAACTGGTGAAATTTCTGAGCTTCTTAAGGAAAGAATAAAAGCGTCTGATAATCTTACTGACGTTCAGTAAGTACCCAGCTATAAGTAAATGCTCTGATGTTACGGATTTAGGAATGTTGCCAAGATATCTTAAAAGCAGCTATTCCAACATGATCAATTCCATGGAAAAAGAGCTTTATGCCAGAATTCTTTCCAGCTCATCTTGCATGTGTAGTAGTCCTTGTAACAGAAAGAAATATTGTGAAAATAGAGTATACTCTTGACAGGCAAGTCAAAGTCAGTGTAATTAAAAGCTTCCTTTTTCACAGATTTCAGTGGAATCTATTGTTCTTCTTTGTTATTCATCACACTGGCCAGGGTGTAGAATTACAGAATAGTTAAGGTTGAAAGGCAACTGTAGGTCCATCTGGTCCAACCCCTGCTCTAGCAGGGTCACCTAGAGCAAGTCATTCTTACAGTTGTGATTTGGTACGTGTAGTGGCATACCGTAGTAACTGATTAACAATAGGCGAGCAGTACTTCTATTCTTGACAGTGGGCCTCGGACTCTCATATATCTTCACCTTGCTCAGAGGGTTGCTGTCAGTAACATGAGCCTACAGCTGATCCTCTTGCTCCTGTTTCCTGTTTGACTGAAAGATGTCTGGATTTTTGCAATGGTCTGTTCAGTTCTCCACTTGTTTTATGAACTCCCTGAATGTACCAGCTGTGAACAATGTCAAGGCACTGATACCCTCATGCAGTGTAGCCCTGTTGGCTTAAATGTTAGCCAACAGAACACTAGAAAGACAGACAGACTGCAGTGAACCAGGGGAAGCTTTTCCTAGAAAGCCCTACATGTTTTGATGCTGCAAATTTATTTATGTGGACACTCCAGCATAAACTAGTGTTAAGCCAAATTTTAGTATGAAAGACTTCATTTGAATGTATGTCTCTGAAGTTTAGTTCTTTTTGAAAGTCCCATCTTCCAGTAATGTGCATTTCTTTTTTGATTCAGTTTTGTCTTTTGTTAGGTTTTTCCTTAGGTTTTCCTTAGGTTTTCCACACATGAGAGATCTAAAGTAGTTTGTGCTTGATCTTCCTTGAGACTTCTGTTAGCCACAATGAAGCATTCATTAGTTTACTCAAAAACGCATGTTCTTGTGTTCATTGCATTGAAGAAAAGAGACTACCCTCTTCTGAGTTCTCATGATAATAGCTCTTCATATAGTTAAATAAAAACATAACAGTAAGCCTCCAAGTCTAAATGCAGCCCTACGTTTTTGTTTGTTCATGTATCTTGAAGTTGTTCTTGACATCAAGAACAAGTCTTCACCATGGGTGTGATGTTTAGGAAGAATCTTGCTTTACTAGGATGGTTTTTGCTCTGATTTGTTATTGCTCTGTGACAGCTTTCATCCTGCCAGAGTGGAGAAGGCACCCCCAAGTGCCATTTCTCCATACTGAAAATCTGTGCAGCTTCAATACAGAAAAAGCCAATTGTTGCTTAGATCTGATTTTTTTGCCATGACAACTGCGGTAGAGTGCTGATATGTTTGGTATTCAACTCAGGAGGAGGTAAATCCATTGCCAAGTTGGAGCATGCTATTTGGCTTTGTATGCACTATCTCTGAGAAATTCTAGATGGTAGATTGCTTATGGTATTTCTTTGCAGGGCAAACCTATTTCCCAAGGCTTTGTATAGTGGCGAGTAAATTCAGTGTACCTTTAGTCATCAGTTTCCTTGAACTTGGATACTTGCCTATTTCACTCATCTGTTTCAATCTTTTATGACAAGGATGATCAGAACAAGTGTGAATGTTTTCCTGTTGTACATAGTGTGAGAGTTGTTTACAGATCCCCAGGAACAGTTGGTAAAGCAGTTGTTCTCTTTACATCCCTCTTTTGCTAAGCATTATGCCAACATTCATTCCTTTGAATGCTATTCACAGTTCTTTCTTGCAGAGGATTCAAGGAAGTAACTGCAAGTAAGCAACTACAAGATTCAAGGCTGACACTGGGGCTGCAGAGACCTAACTAGTAGGCAAAGAGTTGCTTTGGATTAACAGATGTAGGAGCAGTATAGAAACCTTCCCTTTTCAGGCATGGATGTATCCACTGCAGTTTTGTCATTAGCACGTGCTTGTCTTTCCCTGCATGAAGTCTATCAGTGAATTCATATCTATGGAAAAAAACTGATATACAAGAGCCACAGTTAGACAGTTACTTTCCTTTCTTATAAAGTGTATTGATTGTAATTTTATGTTCTTTTGACTTATTTTCACTTCATGTGTCACTAAATATTTAAAAATGTTTTTTACAAACATACAAGTATGTATGCACCTCTTTTAATAATTTTTCAGTTGCTTCATGAATGTGATTGACTGTGTAGGCTTATTTATGTGAGGGTTTTTGTTTGTTTTTGTTTGGTTTTGTTTTTAGAGCAGAAGATACCTCTACGCTGGTTCAAATTCTGGTGTGGTTCAATCTCCTGTGGCATTCTGTGAGATGTACACCACTTGTTTTGACTGTGTTTTAGCAAGGGATCCTTACTGTGCTTGGAAACCTCTTGAGGGTTCTTGCGTTGATATTTTTCAAGAAAGTGAAACTGAAAGGTAATGGCAGCCTTTGACTATAGTTGCAATTGGTTTTGTATCTGTCTTACCTTATCTTAATAAGATTTTTTTTTAACTTATTGTTTTCAAACACATGCTTCCTCCTATCCTTTAATTGCCTATATAAAAAATGTCAGCTTGTGCTAATTAGATGAGATAAAATTTATCTTACATTAGAGGATGGACTGACCTGGGAATAACATTTGAAGCTGTCATACTTGCACTATCTTTTACAGGAACTGGATTCAGAACATAGGTGGAGACGCATCCTCTTGTTCTGGTGAGTTACATTCTGTGAAGAGCTACTTAACTTATCTAGGTGGAATAAGAAAGACTTGTATCTAGATTTTCATTTATATTTTAATATGTATGAAGTTCTGTTGTGTTTTTTTTTTTTTTCTATTTGAGCATCCATACAGCCTTCATCTTGTCTTAAAATGTTTGTATTTGTGAACATTTCAGTGTGCAGTGCACAAAGTTCTGAAATGAATGGGGGTACCTCAACAACACCTCGTGAATGAAAGTACTATTTACCATAAGTACCTCTACTACAGAGGTCACTGTCTCTGAAAAAATAACATTTGACATTCTACTGTGAGTCTTGATTAAATGCTTGATTGTTGTTGCTGGATCAGATGAAATGATGCTGAAAAAAGCATCATTATGAGAGGAGAGGGGGGCTTAATACATCATAGAGAGCAGCTGAAGACAAGTAGCTGCAGGTCCTTTCTTTCTCGTGCGTGTTGCTGCCATCGGATTGTGGAGATCTTAAAGAAGACTAGTGTTAGAGAACATTTGTACTGCAGTAAACAGTACACTATTCTGCTTTCATTTCTTATCTAAGGCAACCATGAGAGTTTGGCTTGTTAGTTATATTGCTCATTTATCGTATTGTATTGTAGGTATGCAATAGTTACTGATGTTTTCAGAAGAGAGTTTGAGTACTGATACTTAAATTTCTTAAAATTAAATTTCTTCTTGAACATTTTGTTGTTACTTAAAATATACTAATTGGTTTGAAAGTTATATGAAGTTGAGCATCTTTTTTCAAATGATGACTTATATCAGAGGCACACTCAATTTGAATCAACTAAGTCTCCTGCTTTTCTGGAAGCGGAAGCTGTTTTGGAGTTTGAGGTGTCTGATCTTGTAATCTGTTTTGGTGTTTTGTACACACCTATAGTTTAGTATTTCACAGAGACTTGCATGCTCTTTTCTTGGTCTTGAGATAATCTTAGCACCATAGTCTTTGCGTTTCTGTTATGACTAGCACAGTCTCATGAAACTGTGGAGAGTAGATCAAACAGGAATCATTGCTGATACTTTGCACGTTTATTTTGGTGTTCCAGATAAAGTAAGAGAGAATTCGCTACAGCATACATTCAAGCATGGGAGCACAGCAGAGCTCAAGTGTTCTCAGAAGTCCAATCTGGCACAGGTAGTTTGGAAGTTCAGGGATGACGTACTGAGAGTGGAGAGTCCCAAATACCGTCTACTGGAAAAGGCATTGCTCATCTTCAATTTATCAGAAGGAGACAGTGGTGTTTACCAGTGTCTGTCAGAAGAAAAAGTGAAGAATAAGAAATTCTCTCAGGTGTTGGCTAAGCACGTTTTGGAACTGAAGAAAGTCCAGCATACTACAGCAAGCCCAGTTGTGGCAGCTGCACCAATAGAAGGTAATAGTGAAGTACCAAAAGTGTCAGCTGTATCAACTGAGGGCCCTACTGCTCAAACCTCAACCACTCAGATTGTACCAGTAACAACTGCGAGGATAATAACAAAACCCATTGGCCCTGTCCTAACAAGTGCAACTTCCAACATAGAGCTTTTCAATTCACTTCCTGACACAGTCCCTGAAAAGACAATGTTTCTGAAGTCAAATGATAACTTCCTGTTGATGTTCCTGTTCCTCTTCTTTTTTATTCTCTTCTTGTGCCTGCTTTCCTACAATTGTTACAAAGGGTATTTGCCAGGGCAGTGCTTGAAATTTCGCTCAGTCATGTTGCTTGGCAAGAAAAAAACAAAGTCAGATTTTTCTGATTGTGAACAGAGTGTGAAAGAAACCCTGGTGGAGCAAGGCAGCGTCAGCCACCAGAGCGGGGAGCAGCCAAAGCCAGCGCATGACACCGGCTATGAGACGGAGCCGGACTGTGGGAATGGACAGCTTCAGGACAGGGACGCACAGGTGCCCAGGGAGGCCAAGGACAAACCTTTTGATGTGAAGTGTGAGCTCAAGTATGCTGACTCAGATGTGGAGGGAGACTGAAGGACACCACTGGTTTTGTGTTGGAAATTAACCGTGGTACTAAAGCTATTTTTGAGCACCGAGAACATGGTTGTGACCACTGAGCCATAGGCGAGCTTTACGTGCTTCAGCTACACAGCAAGCCAATTCGCATTCAGATCTCACCAGATACAGAAGCAGTGTTCTTGTCTGCAGACCATAGCATCTTGTATTGTTGTATCAGGTTTTTTTTTTTAAATGGCCAGTTTCAGATCCCCATTTGTTTATTCCTGGTTCTCACCCACACATGGAGTACTTAACGCTGGTGAACAGCTGCCCACTCCTTTTTGGCCGTTTTCTTCCTTAGGATAAAAGTAACTAATTTAGTTGGCTTTATAAAGTACTTCAGTCTGCAAATCTTTTAGCTGCCATTAAAAAAAAGGTCTAGTTTAATTTGCATTCCAAATTGGAAATTAAGTTTAGTTTATCAGATTGGTAAATTATAGACTATTGTCCAAATTGGGACATTTTTTCTTTGCTTCTAGTGATTATTTTTCATTTGATGCTTTGTGTTTTGGCAAGCTAGATTTCTTTAGTTGGTTAAAGTTAATTAACTTTTAAGTATCTTAGCTTTTAAAGAATATGGGGATATATAGTTGGCTTGATTTGTGTAAGATTCTCAGGGATAATCTTGTTTAAAGGCTTTTTTGTCGCTGCTTTCTAGAAATTTAGGTAACAGTATCAGTATAAAACTTGTGGACTGGAGTAAGAAGGGAAAAGAATAAATGATAGATTTAGAAACATTTTATTTTCCTTAACCATGCTGGACATAGTCACCTGTTTGTTTTTTTTTTTCTGTACACCATTGGATTTTTCCACTTTCTTTTGATTATTTTTTTAATGAAACAGTACAGTCAAGCAGCTGTCACTTCGCGGTGACATTGAGAGAGTTTTTTTGCACTGTGAAAGCAAAAAAGGAATTGAAAATTCCCTGCAGTAACTCATCTTGCAACTCACTGGAATGGACTGTTAGGATACAGCCTGATAAGAAAACTTTGGGGATGTTCTTTTTTTTTCTTTTTTCTGATTCAGAAAATAACTTCTTTTCCTGTGACACATCTTTGCAGCGTCACCCTTTCTGGATGACATCTTCTAATCTCTTATGCAACTGGAGACTGAAACTGGAGCTCCTCAAACAATCAGTAATTTGAACTGTTCATTTGAATCGTGTCTGCAAAAGTGAAAATGTGCATTTGTTCTAATTCTGCTTCACAGCTGCACTGTTTGTCTCTAAAAGCATTTAGTGTGGTACAGTTCCAGAGAGAATTGTCCCTCTCACTGCATCTTTCTGTAAATATTGCTAGGAGTGCATCTAAACAGTAAATAGCAGTGTACCTAGTCTGTTTCTCTATGTTGAACTTTCATGCAAACTTTAATTTCAACCATCTTAGTGTGAACAGTTTATATTTTATAAGATTCAGTTCGGTTTTATTTTTCTATTTTTAATTATGTACATATAACAGAATAAATATTAAAATAAATTGTATTAGACTTTGACTTTTATGAAAGTTGACATTAATGGCAATCCTAATGGCAAGTGCTAATGTTCCTTGTGGCTTCCTTTAAGGGGGAAAAAAAGAAAACTCTCACCAGTTTGGAGCAGGTTCTCTTCTCTTTATTTACTTGGGTTGTAACCCTCTGGGGGATAGAATGGATGGAAAAAGATGTGAGTGAAGGAGAAAAGTGTTTTTTCCTAGGCCTCTGGGGATACTTCCTTTTATAACCCTTCTAAAATTCATTTGTCTTTTTGCATTATTTCTTCAATGTGTGATGTATTTCTTGTAACTTTATTCCTTAGTACCATTTTTTTTTCTTTCTTTTCTGTCCTCTTCTGTCACACAGCTTCATCTCCTATACCTTTCCCTCCTACTGGTACTTCCTTTTTGTCTTGTGTGGGATGTGGTCCACCTCCTTCACCCACCAGTATCAAGCCTGATGTTTGGTCTAGCACAGACCCTCTAAAGGTCATGTTGTTGCAACCTTTCCTAAATGACCAGGCACAGCATGTTAGTGCTCGGGGATCGTTCCACCTCTTCTGCCAAGCCACAGGTAAGTTGGAGGAGCCCTGCGTGAACTAGCATTTTCTTCACTAAAGGTTTGGATATGTGGCCATGTACTCTGTATGTTCTTTTTTGATGCTTAAAAAAGAAAGAAAAAGACTATTTGGGGATGTATTGTCCACATGCTTTTGTTGCATATTGGGCACTGCAAACAGTGTCCTGTAAAATTCTCTCGTTTAGCAGCCTATTTAAGTATGCAAAGTCAGTTGACTTCAGTAGGCTCATTTGGATGCTGAATGATGCACTTCCATGTATGTGGATGTGTAGTAGGTAAATATCTTCATTGTTAGGATGTATGCAATTAAAAAAATACTGTTGGATTTGAATTTTGCTCTTATTTTGGACCTGGTCAGTTATCCCTTATTACTTATTTCAGATGATAAAGTATGTGCAGTAATGGTAATTCCATTTTACGAGGAATATATTGTCTGTGATCGATGGGAGCAAGTCAAAGCTATTTTTTTTCTGTAGAAATTAAACATTTGTCTTTCCGCTCTTGTTTGGACAGCAGTTGCCTGGTTAAGTGAGATTTAATGCATCTAGACAGGTCTTAAAATGTAATTTCTGTCCTTTAAAAATTAGAGATTAATTTTTAAGTAGGATTGTTTTTACTGGTGTGTCTGTGATTGTTAAATGTTACATGGAATCAGATCAAAATGCAGCTATCTTCATTAAAGTAGGTCTTACCAAAGACATGATTTGTATTTTCATGGCTAGAAACCAGCTGTGGGGTTTGGGTGGGTAGCAATAATTTTTTCACTGCTGCTGGTGACACTGACACCTTTTACTGTCCACCATGGAAAAAAAACCATGGAAATGGTGTAAATACTGCAAAAGATTTAAGCAATTTGGTAACTAGGCAAACACTGCAGTGTCTGGGGCACAGGAGGAGCAGCGAGCTGATACTGTGCACAGCTGCACTGAACTCAGGTGTGATGGAATCTGGGTAGTTCCTAGTTTGGTTCTGTTTCAAGCTTCATTAACACAGGCACCACCATTGCCCAATGCCCAGTATATCCTTGGACTTGTTATAGGTAAGCAATATCCTACAATGTCCTGAGTGTGCTGAGCAACAGTTTGAGTGCATTTGCAGATGACTAGTGTGCAACACTGTGTTATTGTTGTGTTTCTGCCCTGCAGATAGATCCATGCTGTCCAGAAGCCTGACTCCTTCCCTTAGCTGTTAGAAGCTTTCCTTACCTGTTCTGTAGCTTTTTGGTCTCATTAAAATAACCCTCATATGTGAAAATAACAGTTCTGCAAACTTGGCGTCCTTCTTTAAAGAATCATTCTGCAGTGGCACTGAGGTGGGTGCCTGATGCACACCTACAGACTGTGGCACTGCAGCAATGCTGTGTACAGGCAGTGCAGGAGAACTTCCCACCTCATGGGGGGGAAGGTGCATCACTCACAAGTCAACGTCACAAAAGCTTCATAGAAAGTTTTTTCTCTCCAGCAATACTTGGAATTACACAGGAAGGTGTGCAGGGGAAGGGCTGGGGTGAGGGCAATGGGACGACTGCTGCAGACCAAGCTCAACCTCAGCGAGTGCTCCTGCAGCATGAATGCAGGATAGACCCACAAGTGGACATGTGATGGGCCCAAGCTGTGCCAAGTACCTGGCATTGGCTGTAGGCCAGCCCCCTAAAGCAAGCAAGCCATCCTGCACTGCTCCACTCTACTGGACTTTGAGATTTAGTGGTGAGGCTTCTCTGGAGCAGTGACCCTGACTTTGATCCATGTTAGGTTTGTCCTTAACTTTCATACGGGTTGCTGTGCCAGCACCTTGCTGAGGGTTTCTCTGGTGTGCTGCTGCTGGCAGTCTGACTGCAGGTCAGTGCCAGCACATAGCATATGTGGCTGCCAGAGTCTGATGGAGTTAAATGCCAGGTGTGGGACAGTATTGTTTATTCCAGTGATTCCTGCTCTGACTGTGAATATTCATTACTAAATAGTAGACTAAAACCTTTCCTTCAGACAGATCTGCAGCACACCACATTCTTTGTTATTTAAACTGCACCTAGGAGACAACTTCAGAAGTTAAGATTGCTCTTCTAAGTGTTCTGTTAAAGCCTTAAAAGGTATTATAACTTTTATAAGTTATATGGATAGTTGTGGCCTGTCAGTAACTTCTGCTGTTGTGACGTGCTTAAAGATTAAAACATCTCAAACCACACTCATGTTGTAGCCTGTCATATACTATGAAACACCTGTGTGTGCCCTACTGAAACAGCTCTCTGAGTGCCCTGGTGCATTCGCTGCCAGACTGTATCATCTGCACCATATGTTGGCAAAGCACTTAGAAAATTCAGCAGGTTGATGCTCCTCAAACACCTGAAATTGCACTGTTGGAAGCTTCCAGTTAACATCCGCAGTGTCTGAATAAACTGTTCTCTGTCAGAAGATCTCTTGAGGCTAAGGACAGTGGCTGCCCCTGCTGACATGGGTGAGAGCTTGTGGGAGATGGCACTGGTGCAGGCCTCTGTGGGCCCCTCACTCCTGCATGTAATGCGTGTGAGGCTTCAGCAGCACAGATAAAAGGTGTACTGCAGAATCTGTGACAGCTTCTGTTGTATATCTAATGCTGTATGTAACAGAAAGTGTAATGATGAGATGGGAGGTGATTTGCAGCTGTTGCTTTGTTTTAACCCTCGTTAGCAATGGGTGCCCATCTCACCCCTTATCTCTGTCAGTACTGGGTCTGTCCACTGATAGCTGAGCAGAGGTTGTATTTTGTATGCTCTGGAGAGGAGACTGAAAAGGCATTCTACTGTCAGAGGTATTTTTGTTCTCTGATTTTTTCCATTTTATTTTACAAGATAACACCATAGCTTTAAGATGGTGGACAGAGTGTGCATGGCAGGGAAAACAGGCACGCTCAGGCTGATGGTGCAACAATTCTTTGTTGCCAGACCCAAGTTCTAGTTTTTTGCATTTCACTTAATACCTGGGTTCCAACCACACAGCTGTGCTCTGGCTCCACTTAGAGGACAGCTGGGATGGTGGGGAGCAGGGACAGCCATAATGCAGCTCTGTCCTGCCCATAGGTGGGCAGCCATGTTCCATCTGAGTAGTGCAGCTGTGCCTGTGCTGTGCACACACACTGGTGTGGCCTCAGGCCTGGCTGTATCAGCCAGCAGCACTGTTGCACCAATGCCAGCTAACAAACCATAAGCAGTGTTTCAGAACAAACTGTTAGCCTGTTAACCTGTTTGAGGTTAAACTCTTTGTTGGCAATTGTTGTCATATTATTTTAACTGTTTTCTAGAATAGTAATGTACTGACCATAATTTCTAACCCAGCTAACTGAAGTACAAACACAGAAGGCCCAACAAACACACTGTTTTCAGAATGCTACAGATTCCCATCACAGTTCAGCGACCCTCCCACCTGCAGCTCCACCACTAACCCCGCTGTGTGCAACTCTCAGCACCAACTGACAGTGCTCATGCATCATTGGGCTACAACTGTTCAGTACTTCAGGACACAATTACCTTTCCTGTGCTTTCATCTCTTGAGTGTCTTTTAAAACTTAGGACCTGTGTTATGCTGAAAGTCCAGGTGATAAGTTCATAGTGTTCAGCACAAACTGGAGCTGCAGCCTATATACTGAGTGCTAAATCGATACTGAGTGCTAAATCCAGATTCTACCTTTATTTTTATTTATTTATTTATTTATTTATTTTAAGATCAAGTGATGTTTGGAAAAGTTCTGAGGAACCAACAAGCTAGCATTGGAGGAAGACATCCCATTTCTGTAGATGGTCACTAGTGATGCCATGCTTGTATCACAGCTGTGCATGACAAGCTCTGCCCCTCCAAGCAGTCCCTGCAGGCACCTGCCAGCCATATGCACTGCTACCAACCGCTGGAGCCTTGGGCCATGCTGACAGCACCTGCTTTGCTGCACTGGGCTCAGCTCTCCCTAGCTGGAAAGGTTTCTCCATCTGTTAGAGAGGTGTGGGTACTCCTCGCTGGTGGCAGCTGTTGGGCCACCTGCTCTGAGCAGCCCTATTGTGTCCCAGACCCACAGGGCAGCTCTGCAGGACTGGCCTGGCCCCAGCTCCCTTCCACTCCCTAATCTATGGGATCAGCTCCACCAATAATTCATAATCACCCAATCCATTATCACCCACTCTTACATTGGTATCTAAAAGGAAAGCTGTATGCCTGCTAGGATTTGATGCCTATATAGCAGATGCGATACTGGGGACAACCAAATGGGGTCCCTGGCATGCTGCTCTGCATCTACAGCTGTATTACTCCATTCCTCACATCTTGATATACTGCTTGATTATAAGCTAAAATGGAACATAAACCCCACTTCAGTGAATAAAGTTGCGGGGTTGGTACACAGTTTAATGCTGCAGGCAACTGAAGCAGGTTAAGATAACACACTGTATGGCTGAGGGGATGCTTCTGCTCAAGGACTTGAGGCACTGCACCAACAGAGGATGGCACCCACCTGGGAAATGAGTAAACAATGACACCACCACTGGGTATTACGGAGGGCCTGGACAGACAAAGGGCATATTTGCTTTGCTGCACAGTGTTAGCTGTCTCCCTTCTAAAGCAGTTAGGACGATGGATTTGGTTAAGAGTAATGAATGCATTTTCTATGATGAAGCAATGTTTTCAAAATTAACTGTGTGAAGTATCATTCACTGTTGCCTAAATGTACCTGTCTACATATCCAAACTGGT